ATATATATATATGTGCATAGATAGAAGACGTAATTTACTTAGCAAAGACTCTGCCCTAAACTCCCCTGACAGAGACCGATCCAGTCCAATCCAGCAATAAATTAATACAAAGGAGGCGTGTGGACTTTTGCTCTGTGCTCTGAGGGCGTTGAACTTCTAGTCTCAGTGCTGTGCTGTTTACTGCTTTCTGGGAAAATCCCACCCACCTATGCATGATTTTGCAAGGAAAGAAAGCCATATATTGAGCAAGTAAAAAAAGAAAAGTTAAATCAAATAAATGYTTTTTGACTGTTTTATTTAAAAGAAAGTGATTAAAGATTCGCCCACTATTTCCACTAACAAATAAGCCTTGACAACCTTGAATCAGCAGAATGTAATTTTTACGCCAATTTAAATAAAATATTGACTGACTTGCACAGATGTCTTTTTCTTTTACTGGCTGATGCCTCCTTTTTCTTACTAACAGAACATTTTTTTCCCAGTTTGACCAGAGGTTGAGTATTGCTGACAGTAGAACAGAATACGACTGATTATATGGCTCAGAGCAACATCTGGAGGCCCAGCAGCTCAGTCATGTTTGCTCAGTAAAAATGCAAACATCAAAGGCTAAAATAACAGTAGCTGAATTTCAATTCTGTCAGGCAACTAATTGTACTTTTTAAAATCTAAATAACACATTTCCCCACATAAATCAATGAAGTCTCTTAGGTCACTATTAATTATTTTGATTTTGACATTACTCTTGTGCAGCTTTAATGTGTTTTTTTCCACACTCAAACATTCTAAAGTCACAAGCTGCCCCAGTTTTGCCTAACCTCAAAGGAATTTAAAAAAAGTATTTTGTCTGTCATGCCACATTTTATGCTGCAAATCGATTCACATTTGTGACAAAGAGAGCTTAAATAATCACGAAGAGACTGTCAGTCAYTGCAAGTACGTATGACACTGTTACAGTAGTGTTTCTTCATTTCAAGGGGTGATTCAAGGGTCCAAGCCAGACCGCATTAACTGAATCAAATCATGAGCAAGAACTGTCTGCAGACTGAGAACTTGGCGTGGTTTATTTGAGTATCTGATAAACACTTGTGCAAGCAGAACTCTTATGAAAAAGACGAAGTCCAGGAAGCACAACTAATATCTTCTCTACCTCAGCTACTTCTACACTGCAAAAACTGTCCATCTAACCAAGTTTTAAAATCTTATATCCAGCCAAAAAGTCTTTTTGATCTTGTTTTGAGACTGATTTACTAAACAATAACTGATTGTGTAAGAATAATCATCTTGTTTTCAGGATGTGTAAGATTATTTGTCTTGTTAGTCTGAAAATTTGACTCAAAATAAGTAAAAAAATATCTGCCAATGGAGTAAGAAAATTTTACTTGGTAAGATTCTTGAAATACTTGATTTGACTCAATTTTTTCTTATTTCAAGTATCATACCAAGTAAAATTTTCTTACTCCATTGGCAGAAATGTTTGACTTAATTTGAGTCAAATTTTCAGACTAACAAGACAAATAATCTT